ACAGCACTTGCATCGGCTGACAGTTGGACAAAATCAGCTAACACAAAGCTTAATTTAATAGCAAGGCATTGCATATCTCATGTACTCATTGAATATTGTACCAAAAGTTAAATATACAATCATAAAGACAAAAACTTTTTAATCAGGTCATCCTAAGATGGGACTAAACCATCTGTATAGTTTTACCAACACAGCCATTCTAATCCATACTATTGCATACACTTCTTGCAAATTTTTGACCCTTCTAAATGCTGTTCAGAAAGTCCTTCCTCACACACTTTACCTATCAAGCTTAAGCCTTTCATAGCTGGCATTTTAGGTTGCATTTTGTAAGAGTCATAGAAACATCTAGGGCTTAGTTAAGTGAAGTGTCTTTTTTCAAGGCCACACAGATGAGGAGCAAGGAAACACAGATTCAAATCTACATCATCTGGGCATAAAGCAGAGGCCTTTTCTCCCCTTCATGCTGTTTCACTGCACATCAGTTTTATTCCTTCTTTCCAGCTGTAACAGTGTACAAAGAAATATTTACAGGAATGCTTCAAAATGAATTCAAAGAAGGATGTGAATTTATGTGCCAAGATAAGGGCAGTGGCTTGACCTAGAAAATGTCTTTTTCTTTTCATATTTTTTTCATCATATCCAATGTTGTTCTGAATTCTTCTTCCTCCCTGCCCTACCCAAGGTGTTAAACAGATGTGAAAATACCACAAAGCGGCAAGTCTCAGCACTGGCTTATGATTCACTGATTGGGATGGAGGAAAATAATGCTGAGGATTACCATGGTGATGCCTGTTTATGGAGGCAACACTGGAGACGATGAGCGGCGTGGTGGAAACCAGGCATGGACAAAGCAAGAGAGCGCTTCCTCCCTTGTGTTTGCAGTGGGGCTGCACACTCCCGCTGCTTCGGACCTCGCTGGGTGACAGGGTGGGAAATGTGCCATCTTGGCAGCAGTCGAGAGCAGCAAAGCCATAAGGAGAATGCTTTCATTTCTTCCCCAAGGCATGGGTTTAAGGATTTTTTTTGTACTGTTCTGTTTGTTTATTTGTGAATTCATTTTATGTATTCTTTTTTTTCACTCAATAGATTATCTGATGCAGTAGTAAATACCTAGACTTAAGATGGTACACGGGTAGTGTGATACGATGATTAAAAGCGTGACCTCAGGGAGGAGGTATTGGCTCTAATGGTTAAGAAGTTCATATTGGGATGTCTGAGTTTTATACCTGATTCTGGCTCTTGACTTGACCTTTCTGGCTCGAGTGATTGGATTCCTGCCATCCATGTGGGAGACCTGGATTAAGTTCCTGGCTTCTGACACTGGCCCCTGTCCAGTCCTTTTCCATGTTACAGGCATTCTGGGAAGTAAACCAGTAGATAGAGGCTCTTTGTATGTCCCTTTATCTCTCTCCATGTCTGTCTTTGTCTCTCAAATAAAAATAAAACAAGTCAAGAACAAAAATACACACATCCCTGCATTCTGAAAAAATGAGTTCAAGTCCCAATCTTGCCATGTTCAGTATGTGATGTCAAGATAATTTCTTCTATTTGTAAAAATCTTTTAAACTGGGATGCAGATCAAGCCTCACCAAGGTATTACTAATACTTATCATAAGTGATTGCTGTTTGGAATTGAGAAAAAAATATAGCCCTTAGGGCAGTGCCTGGCACATACTGGCTTCTCAGTAGATATTAGGTTTTTCGAATGCTGATCTATGGTATATTTGATTTGTTACAGTAAGAGAGTAATACATGTCTTTCAGAACTATTGCAAAGGAGAAAAAAGAGGTAAAAATCTACCAAAGTGAAAATATCACATTGGTTCATACATGAGGGGATGACAGTTTGTGGGGAAAAAATGGAATAAAAAGATCAGATAATTTTGATACAAACATTTTTGAAAGCTGTGTTTATTTTTTTATAGCATATATTTTCTATGAGTTTTGTTAGAACCTCTTACAAGTTGCTAAAGCAAATATTCTCAGAAAATCAGTGCATCTGGAGTCATTTCTTGAGTATATCTGAGTCTACAATACCTGCGTTTCATGTTGGGGTACCTGGCTTCAGTTCCTAGCTCTGGCTCCTGATTCCAACTGAGAGGCAGCATCGATGATGTTCATTTCTGCCTTCTGCCAGCCAATTGGAAATGCAGGATTTGTGCTTTTTGTCATCCCTCATTCTGTGTGGAAGAGAACATTAGGAATCCTAGCAGTTGAGAAAAGCCAAGTAAGTTGCTCCAACACACACGGTTGGCACTAAGTGTGAGAATTGGACCCATGTCGCTTCAAAGTCCATGTGCATTTTGGCCTTCCCCTGATAGTGTGTGAGTTGGGGTGTGGGCAGACATGAAGGCTGGGGAGCTTACTACGTTTGATACTATGGAAGTAGAGGCCATAGACATGCTGCAAGAGGGGCCTGATGCAGTACCCTGGTGGTTAAAGTCCTCACCTTGCAGGATCCCATATGGGGGCCAGTTCATATCCTGGCTGCTCCACTTCTCATCTAGCTCTGTGCTTGTGGCCTGGGAATGCAGTGGAGGATGGCCCAAAGTCTGGAGACCCTGTATCCACATGGGAGACCCAGAAGAGACTCCTGACTCCTGACTTCGGATCGGCTCAGCTCTGACCATTGCAACCACTTGGGGATTGAACCAGTGGATGCAAGATCTTCCTCTCTGTCTCTCCTTCTCTCTGTAAATCTGACTTTCCAATAGAAATTATATAGAGTGGGAACCCCAAGATTCATCTGCAGGCACCAGGTGGTAGGATTGGGCAGTGATGGTGTATTGGTGAGCTGGTGGCACTGCAGAAAGGGAGCAGGGAGATGGCATTCAGTAGTCATAGTCATCGCAGCTGCTGAGATGGAGTGATAAGAATCACTGTAGAAATGCTGTATCTTCACCCTCTGTATACCCTTTGTACATGAAGAGAGACCCTCAGAAACAAAGTGGCTGCCCTCTGGTTACTCACAGGTGACAGAGCAGGTGTTCCAATTCAGGACCGCTCACCTTGTAAGTTCTGTGTCTGGAGCAATGTCACAATATATTTGCCTTCCTTGCCAAGTCCATAGCATTGTGCCATCACATTGTGTACCCCTTTACATAATAAATATTAATTGAAGATATTAGTGCCTCTGCCATGAGTATAAGCCACCGGGATCCCATGCTGTGCCCTGGTAACGAAGCCCTTAGTTGCACTGTCATATTCAACACCGACAGGGTTCCCTGTATCCATCCCAGTTCAGGCAGAGGTGAAAAGAATGTGGTAGTGATGAGGAGATAACACAGATACCAGTCTGTCTTTCTGCTCATTCCTCATTGTTGCCCGGGTCACCCTTCCTCCGCTGTATAGCTCTCATTTATACTGTACCAGTGTTCCACTCAGTCTAAGTGCCACGTTTCTCCATCACAGTTCAGGCAAGGAATACCTTGGACAGCTATCTTGGGTAGTGGGCAATTAGATGAGAGAGGAAGATGGAATCCGTTGAGATTACTCAGGGTCTCACTTGATTTTTTTTTTTCCCGTATTTAAGATATCAGGAAGGTAGTGCATCCTCAAACTGGGTATTTGCTCAGTCCACACTGCTAGATTCAGAGTTGTTTCCCTGGTCACCTTGTCCAACTTTCTAATTTGTAAGTGAGAAATAGAGGGTGACCTGCTTAGGCACTGGGAAGAGAAACCAAAGAGGTATCAACCATTTGACTGGAAATCATTATTGGGTTAGTGACCTCTAGGTAGATACGTGCTAGGCAGGGAAGTGAAGTCAACGGACACAGGCTTTTTGGACACTCCAAAGGCCAAAACTTCGAAAAAAATGTCTCGGGAGGAAAATATCTTATGTAAGGATGAATCGTGCAACAGCTATGATTAAATACACAGAATACTACTCATGGTCCCAATTTTTTAGTCTGTAGTCAAAGAAAATTTTAATGAACATAGAATACTTATACAGTTGTTTCTAGGTTTATTCCTAACTTCAGTTGATCCTAGCTCTGGTTTTCCACCTTCCTTGGTGTCCCTCTGTCCTGACATCAATACAGCACCTTAAGGTTCTCAGTTCATCTATGGGAAATTCTCCTCTTAGGGGCTGTGTTAAGGAGGTTAAGCTTAAAAGTTGAGGCCAGCATGATTTATGCATCTCCCTTTACCTAAATAATGTGCTAAGTTAGCAATGTTATCCCTTCTATGTACCAGGCACATACTCTACTGTGTTGGTCTGAATAGTTAAATGAGATAAGAGTTTTGTCCTCTGGGACTTTGCAAACTGGCTGGAAAATTGACACATTTTGCCTTGTTTGCTGGTATGTGTCTATACATCAAAGCTAGTTCAGAGCCTGTTGATTTCGTGGGATAGAAAAATTCAGCTGAAAGTGGTTTAAAACAAACTCTAAGGGTAACAGGATAGATTGACTAGTATGTTCTCCAAGTGCAGTTACGCAGCTTCGGGCATGAGTGGCTCAAGACATCAGAAATCAATTTCTTTTCATCTTCTGGTTCATTATGTGGTGACACAATGACTTGCAAACCCTCAAAAGCTTAGCAATGCCAATAGGCAGAGAGCTATTGAGGATTTGGGTCATGTACACATTCCTCTAACAATTGTTTTGGTCTGAGGGGTTGAAGGTAGTTACAGGCCTGACCTGGTGAAGGTACCCATCCTTGGAATGTCTGGAATTACAAATAGTGGTCAACCTCATTTGTTTGACATGATCTGAGAGTTGAGGAAAGAGAAACTTCCAAAGACAATTTGTTTTTATGTGAAGAAGGGACCACAGAAGCCAGGGAATTATATATGACAGAGCTCTTCTACATGTATAATGAATGGCTTATTCCATACACTATCCTTATGGTGAGCTGGGCATGCCCCAGGGATATCATTAATCATCGGAATTGCCTTCTCCTTGACAAGCAACATCCCTCTAGTCCAAGACAGTCTGGGTTGAATAAACCATACGTTTAATCTGCAAAACTCTGACCTAAATCTGTTCTCCATTGCAGTGACCTGGACCGAAATAATATAACCAGGATCACCAAGACGGACTTTGCTGGACTGAAGAACCTCCGCGTCTTGTAAGTAGCAGGTGGCTTTCCAGTGTGTGTTCATGGTCAGCTCTCCCGTGGTACAGAAATTCCCCCTTGTCCTGATGTAATACTCCAAAGCCCTGGGCAATAGACTTTAACCACTCCACTGCAGAAAACCCTTCCTTAGTGTATCTCCTGCCCTCAGGCATCACTTTCTGTGTCCAGAGGTCACTGGCTGAGCTAGATGGGTGGAAGAGCTCAGTTCCAGTGACGGGGAAAACAGAAGGCCAGAGGCACATAAATCAACGTGCCCAGCTTCTAGGCTGACAGCCAGGTCAGGTTGACTAACCATGCTTCCCTTCTTTAGAGATGATAATTTCTTCTCCAGCCTGCAACCTTAAAAGAACAATCAGGACAAAAGTTATTTGTCTTGTTACTTAATGGAGAAGAGAGCAAGAAGGAGAGAGAGCATGAGAGCAAGACAGGGTCGGAGCCCATGCTGAAAACCAACAGCTGTGCAGACAGGTAGCAAGATGTGAGATGGGCATTGATGGACTAGAGGGCCCATGGGTATCAGGTTTCAGTGCTGAATTGTGAACCTGTGAGTGGTCAGAAGTGTCCCAAGAGCTTGTCCGTTGGGAAGTCGAAAACATTCAGAGGCGTAAGGGAAGAGCAATTAGATCCTCTTTTCTTCTTTGTAATGCAGCAATGTGGTCGCAGACCTGGCGGGCAAGCTGGACTGTTCAGCCACTGCTATGGTATTATTTGTGTCATGGAATCTTGCTGGAAACTTGTTCCTGGAGGCAGCAACTAAAGCCTCCATACCTGAAGTTGCCTCCTTCTTTTTACGAAGAGTCATGTACAGTGTGAGGAAGCATAGGGTGTGGTTCTGATTGAGAATTAGCTGCTTGCAGCCGTGGGCAAATCCCTGTACCTCTTTGATTCTCAGTTTTCTTCTTATCTGGTGAATGGTGAGATGTCTTTTCAACTCTCACCGTTACATACAACGCTTTATGACTTTCACATGTTCACGTTCACACGCAGTCTTTGATTATTTCCGCTCCTCTTTGTGAAGCACTACTTTTATCACATTGTTTTCTTGGTTGAGAATTATTGGTAGTAATGGTGCTATGAGAACTGATGTTCAAATGCCACTATCTAGTAATAGTCTAGGAGGCAGACATTATTGTGAACACTTTTTGAAAAAATAGACCAAAGATGGGTTCAATCTTCCCAGTTTCACATAGCAGGTAACTGAAGGCATTGGAGTTGAAACCCAGACTGAGTGCTTTTGATTTGAGTGGTTCTGCCTTTGCGTTATAAAAAGCTTAGGACTTCAAGATGCTAGCAGTCTACCTACCTTATTAATGCAGCCCTGATGTGCTGGGCTTCCCTGAACCCCAGTGCCTGGGGATGTGAGGATGTGAATGCAGGCGCTCCAGTAGCAGGTATTCCCTCCCTCCACCAGTGAGTTCTTGGGCATTCCTTTCACCATCTTTGGAGGCAAGGCCCGCCCTGTGCCAAGCCTTTCTTTGGTCCCAAAGAACCATTTGTCTGTCAAGTGACTGGCAGCTCTGAGAAGAAGTGTGGAGCATCAGAATCAAGATTGAGAGAATTCCATGGTTATGTGTTTGATTTTTATTAAAGAGACAAAGGCAGCAATTCCTGATTGCATGTCATTTGCTAGGTGACAAAAAGAAAGAACCAAAGATTTACTAAGCTTCTCTGTTTTCTCCATGCCTTTGCCCTGCCTCCAAGAGAGAATTTTTTTCTTACAGACAGAAGTCTCAGCAAATGCCTCATTTTCTAACCAACTCAAAAATAACCTTTTGATTTTTTTTACTGTTATGGCAGGAAGACTAATAAAAATTCCACTTTCAATATCTGCTCTCTGCAAATAGAAAGTTTAAAATAGTCACGGAAGTTTGTATTAATATCTTCTGGATGGTCGACAGCATTCTTTTGACTCCAGTTGATCTTTCCAGTTAATTGGTACATTCTTCTTATTTTGATAAGTGATGCCAAAAAGGCTCATACCCACCCTTTATAGGCTTCGTGAATATACCGGTTTCATTATCTTTCTTATCAACTCAGAGACAATCCCATTTAAGTGGCCTTTTATTACCAAGACAGCATCTGCTAGGTGGAAAACTAAAATGCTTTCTAACTAACACCAATAAAATATCCAGACATTTTAAACCATATTTCCCCTCGATCTATTCTTTTTAGCTGAGTAACCTAGACAACTATCTTTTCTCAAAAGCTTTCATCGCACCTTGGCACATTCCTGTATCTGTTTCTTATTTACAATTTAGAGTGAAGCGAAGAAAGATGCTCTCATCTTGAATAATTTGAGCTTGCCATCCATTTCCATGCAGAGCTGCTAATGTAGTGCTGGTAAATGGGTGACAACAGGTAAAATGGGGAGTGAGGAGCTTCAGTCTTATACAGGGCAATTTTCCCCAAGCAAAGGCATGCAAGGAGATTTGAGAATTGTCTGTGATAGTTCTTTCTCCCGCCGGGTGGGAGTATATGTAAAAAAAAAAATCTCTTCTGGTGGTATCACTTATATTCCCTTTCTTAATCATCTGTTTAAGAACTCTGCTATGCTTACAAATGTGGGATCCAGCTTTATCCCAAGACGGGTTAATAAAAAAAAAAAGAGTTAAACTCCACCCAAGCCATCATCACATGGGGCAATTTCCGATTCTGATCCAGTGCTAAAACTAAGAAAATAACAATGCTAAGAGAGTTGAAAATGAACACAGTCTGTGTCCCTCTAACTCCAAACAGATGCCAACCAAGGACAGCCCTTCTGGGTATCTAGCCCTTCCAAGATGGTCTGTCCTGCTGTGTTTGCTCACTGAAAGGAGCGTAATGCCAATGGCTATTGGGTGCACTCTTGGTTTGCCTCATAAACTTCAAGTCAGGATGGGAAGTTGATAGCTTGTTCTTTCATAGATTATTCTATTTGTCAGATATTGATTTATTGAGCAGTTTTTGAAGTGCCAGGTTCTCGGTTGGACTCTGATGGATTTAGGAAGACAAAGGGGTCCTTGATACCTTGTCAGTGAGGGTCCCAACTGGAAAGATCCAGTGATTATAGGTAAATAAAAAAAATCTAAAATAGATGGACTGAAGTAGAAGCAACCCAGAAAAGGTACTGTAGATTCCAAGGGTAGTAACGATAGAGTCGCCACTGCCTACTACTGCCCCCACCCACCTGCCCCGGGCTCACAAGGAGCTGTGGAACCAAGTAGTTAGCTGAGCCCAGCCTCATAGTACCGGTGGTGTTAGGTTGGACGACAGTCAGCCTGAATTGATTTGACAGGGAACGAAGGGAACGTAGAGCCTCACTGTACTTTCCTTGCATCCTCTGATCTACAAGTGACATCTGTTGATTGAACCATGTAGGAAGCATGTGGTCCCAAAGCTTCATGATGAAAACAATGAAAGAAGGGGTACATGTCTCCTTTAAATCAATTGCATTCCCTCTGCCTTTTCTGAATGAGGCTAGTAGTGTGAGATTAGTATAGAAACAAAAGACTCATTGTGGGAGGTTGCAGTTGGGCTCCTCGGCAACCCAGAAGGAATGAGACACACAACTACCTAGAGTAGGTTCTGTGAATTCTGTGGATGATTGATTGGTTCATTCACTGATTGACAGTAAAACGCGTAACTGAACAACCTCCTAGCCATGAGTATTGAGCTGGTATTCTGTTCAGTAAAATGTGCTCATTGAGCCAGCTAGCATTGCAAGGCCCTCCTTGCTATACAGTATAGCAAGATAGGAAAGGAAGGCAAGAAATGCTTATTCATCATCTAATTGTACTGGAGATTCTGGGCTGGCTCATGTGCTTACGTTATTCCATTTTTGGCTTCATACATTGTTCTTTGTCTTCCAAAAGAGTTACCGATAGGGGGGTGGGTCAAAGAGTTGAGTGCCAGCCCATATCAGCCCATCAACCAGGGAGAAAATCAGGACAAGGATTCTGCACAAAATCTGAAAAGGACACCAGACTGGGAGATAGGGGTTCATCTTTGGTAGCTGTGTGACTATAAACAAATGATCTTCCCTTGGGCAAACCTATTAACCTCCCTGATCAGTCATTTCCATGTTGGTTAAGAGGGGAACCTGCAACACGTCAGTGCAGAGACAAAAAGAGCATTCATAAGAAAATAAGGGTTGAGGACTGCAGTCTGCCGCCTGGCCCACTTGCTCAGTTCTGGACAGTTGGTATTTGGAAACATGATGATGAATTTTTTTTAAAACTATTATTTTTATTGGAAAGGCAGATTTACAGAGAGAAGGAAACATAGAAAGACCTTCTGTCTGCTGGTTCATTCCCCAAGAGGCTCCAAAGCCAAAGCCAGGAGCCAGAAGCCTCAAGCCTCTTTCAGTCTCCCATGTGGGTGCAGGGTCCCAAGGCTTTGGGCTATCCTCTGCTGCTTTCCCAGGTCACAAGCAAGGAGCTGGATGGGAAGTGGAGCAGTGGGACATGAACCGGCACCCATATGGGATCTCAGAGGTTGCAAGGCAAGGATTTAGCAACCAGACCAGGCCCAAAAATAGATTTTTTAAAAACTAGCCTGGTGGGTAAATGTATGTGTGAAAAAGATATGAAGGTGGAGGAGAGGAAGAGAAAGAGGGGAAAAAAACCTAATTTTTAATTGTTTGCAACAAATTCATGAAAATTATTGAACCCACACCAAACACCCCATCATTCTCTTTGGTTAAAACTTCAGCAGTACTAAAATGACCCTTTCCTTGATATAAAATCACCATATGCTATGACCAAAGGCATCAGTCCTTTTTTTCTTTGTTCAATAAGCAGTTGATTACATGGTTGCTGGGAGTAGCCACTGTTTTAGGGTGCGGTGGGGGACACTGATGATGAGTGGAGTTCTGCATTCTTGTTCTTTAGGCATAGTGGGGGAAATGGAGTTGGAAATTGAACACCACAGCCAAGTATGGAGCCTGAGAATACAGCAGGCTATGAGATGTCTCAGAGAGGGCTTTCCTGCAAGGGTTCCTTTGAGATGGAGAAGCACACTCCTCTCTCCATGCCATCCTCGGGTGCCCAAGGCTGCCTCCCCCAGCTAATCCAGAAGGATCTATGGCGTTCCCAACAAACACCCTTCCAATGCCACTGTATCCCCTGTAAGTCTCATTTGCCCAGCATCGGCAATCTGCATCTCTCAGCTCACTGTCCACCCCCAAATGGAAGCCCTGGCAGCTTCATTGCCTTCATTTCTTACTCTTCAGTTAGTCCATATTTTCAGCTGCCATTTTGCTTTCCTAATTTAAAGAAACAAATGCTTCATTGTGTGCTCAGTTCTTCAAATGTACCACACACTTGAATCAAACTCACTCCAACAGAGTGTTTAGGATTTTAAGTCAGCTGCTTCCCTTGGCACTCTGGGGGTAATGGGGTGATGGGGTAATGGCAGTAGGAAGATAGAGCTTCGGTAACCATTATCATGAGTTTGAGATTGGCAAGGCCATGGTTGAGGGGAGTTGTTGGGACCAGGCTCAGTTTTCTTAGCCACAGCCAGTTGTTTTCACAGTCGCTTCCTTCACCTGTTACACTGGCGTTGGAAGGTGTTTTTCCCTGGAGTATGTTTGAATCTTTGGAGGAGCAAGTCCTGTGGAAAAGATGCGGAATGTATGTGTCTGGCTTTTATAAGAGCAGATTTACCTCTTCCTTTTCTCTGCAATTCCTTGCAGTGCTTGAGGGGACATTTGCTGTGAACATTCTTAAAATAGAGGCTTGGAAACCAATCTGTCAGGTAGAAGTGTGCAGGCATGGAAACCCTCGTTACCGTAGCACCAAGCTGGCATACCAGCTATCTTGTCCCATCAGACTAATCCCAGTTGGACTGTCCCAGAGGGTTATGGAAGGGCTTGAGTGCCTGTGCCCATGAAGGCATGGCCCCAGGCCTTGTCCTTGACCTCTGCTGCCTTTTTGATTCCAGGCATCTGGAAGACAACCAGGTCAGCGTCATTGAGAGAGGCGCCTTCCAGGATCTAAAGCAGCTGGAGCGACTGTGAGTACAACACACTACACTCTCCTTTATCTGGCTGTTCTTGTTATTTATTTATTTGTTTTTCGGAAAACTGGCCTTCTGACCTTGTTCTGTAAACCATTCCCAGTGTTTAATAAAATGCGTGCTATTGTATTTAAAATGCATTAGAGGCATATTAAAGATACTGAGATCCACTTAAAGTCCTTTCCTCGCAGAGATGGGAGGGTCTGCATCTGGGGTTTGTTTTTCTTGTTTTCAGGCTTCAATTCTGTCTGGGTATCTGTCCATGGGCTGATTTCCACCCAAGCCTTGGCCAGTGCCTCTCACCGAGGAGGCCAGCCTGCAGTTCCCCTATCATGGGAGCCAGCATCAGATACTCCTCAGTCCTCTGCACGGAGAACAAGCTACCTTTTCAGACCCTCCCTTCTTCCAAGATTCCTCTGGCTCACTCTTGTGGGTGATTGGGTGCAGTCCTTGGCATACTTGTGTCTCTCCTGCGCAGCATGAGCCTGTGTCAGAGCCCACACATTTCCACGAGAGAATACATTGCCAGTGGTTTAAAAATAGGTAATAGTTCTGACTCAGAGAGAATGGGGTGGGTTTGGGAGGTGGATGGGAGCTCCATTTGTTGATGAATGCTTTTGCAGAAAACTCTTGGGCCACTGTGATGGGGAGCTGCTTAAATGGTTAAGTGGACAGCTTCACCTTTGCTCAGTTAATCACATTTGGCGGCTCCCAACATCTGGATATTTGCTTTCTGCCCTCCAAGTAGGGATTGTCCCTAAGAGCTCTTAGTCATGCTGGTGGGCGGCCCTCTTTGGTGCTTCCCTCTGCGTTCTAGTTGCCCTGACATCTCAGCCTGCCTTGTGACAGCTTTTAGAGGTGAACTGCACTTTGTCAACCTGTGGCCACATCTCCTCTGCAGAGGTCGGCTTGGGTGAGGCAGTCTGCCTCCTGACAGCTTGTTACACATGCCACCCAGTGGAGTTCTCCATCGAGGGCCACATGTGACTGGGGAGGGGGGAACCTCTGTTCCTATCCGTTGGTATCACCCAGCAAAACGTCTTGTCCCTTTCTACTGTGCAAGCTGTCTCCTCTTTCATCGTTCTTCTGGGTCAGATCCCAGCAAATGTTCTGTTGTCATGGGTTTAAAAAATGACATTTATTTCTTGTAAGGGAAAAAAAAACCATAAAAATAACAAATGTTGCCTCTGTTTACACTTTATTTTTCAGCTTATTAAAATTTTAGTTCCCCTTCTTATTTAGACCAAAGGAAACATCAACTTAAAAGGAACCTGATGCTTCTAAAAGAACTAATCAACATTTACTCAGAAAGATAAATAAACAGTCCTTTGTACAGAGGCCACCTCTTGCTTAGACTTCTGATGAGAAGGGTAAATAAATTCCCAATTTGTTAATTTCATGGTTGTTGGGAAGGAATTAATTGAGCACCATGAACACTCCAGGAACGATGCCAGTGTTTCACAAGCTATCTGTTCTGTGCTCCCCAGCAGATTCCTGAGAGGTGTTATTGCTCTCATTCTGCAGATAGAGAAACAGAGGCCCAGGGAGGCTAAGCCAAAGAAGTGTCAAGGGGGAGCCAAGATCCCAAGCCACATCTGTATGACATCAAAGCCCACAGCCTTTCCTACTCCTGTGTTGCAGACATCAGATGAAGTGTGATCTTTAGCAATGGCCCTGCAAAGAGCCTCTCACATACCCATTTCACTCCGGGGAATATCAGGGAAATACTCTGGCCACAGGCTCTTTTCTTTGGCTTGGTGAGCAAGGCAGAAATACCATGCATGTCTGGGGAGCTGAAAGGATTACAATTGCAGAATAAACCTGGTTATTTCACTACTTTAGTGTGTTCAGTGGGTAATACTAGCTGCTGTACCAGATAAACCCTCAAATCTCAGTGACTTAGCACAGTGGAAATTTACCTCTTATTCAAGCAAAACCACCCTGGGTGTTCCTGATAGGGCCTCTTGCTGTCTTTATGTACTGATGTGAGTGTAAGGATGTTTATCTGCGTTACGCCAGTGGATGGGGAGGCAATAGGGTGGATTACATAGGGCAGGCTGCCATGGTCAAGTTTTGGAAGAACTATATATTGTTCAGCTTGAACAAAGTCAGGTGGTTGCTGTGAGTTGCAGAGGAAGCTAGGAAATGTAGTGAAGCTGTATACCAAGAAAGTAGAAGGGCATGCTTAGTAAACGGCTGGCCAATCTCTAATATTGGTGTCAACTAGGCTAAAGAAGTACTTGGCCAGGAAGGAAAATGGAGATGTAGCCAACTGGACTAATACATGTAACTATATAAGCATGTCTCCTCAAGGCCTTCCAGAGTCAGCATGAAGGGGAGAGAGACAGAGAGAGAAAGAGAGAGAGAGAAGGGGAGAGAGAGAGAGAGAGAGAGAGAGTGGGACTAATCCTGGCCGGTGTAATCTAGTTTGGATAATGTCGTTTGTGCCCAGTCAGACTGAACAATACAGAATGGGAAAATAGAACATATTTTTTAAGAAACTGAAGAAGTAGGTGGCAGGTTGTGTCATCTCTATCTTGCACTCCTGGTTTAAGCATGCAATGCCTGTATATTTGGTGCCACATTAATCTTTATAGATCGTATTCTGAAATACACCCTGAAAAAAATGTGTATGTTCTGATTAGCTCATTTCTGTAGGATTCATTTCCAGAAATGGTTATCACTTGTTTGATGTCTTGGGGTTTGTTAGGAATGGGAGGGAAGTCTGTCCTGGTCTCATGTCAAACATTTCTGTTCCTCCATGAAGCAACCTCCCCAGCCTCGTTTTGATGCTCCTCCTTGTTGCCTGTTTTCTGTTGTTTTAATAAAATACTTGATGAGGAACACTTATAAAGAAAAGAAAGTTCTTTAACCTAACTTTTAGAAATTGTAAATTCAAGAGATGACTGTGTCCCCCCACCCCCTGTATCAGTTTAGGGTCTGTTGAAGGTCCTAACAGCTGTGTCATTTCATAGTAGTTGGTGTTACAGCCAGAGAGAGACCACATGGTGAGACAGGAAGCCAATGGGCAGAGAGCCTAAAGCAATTATGTGCAAATCAAGAAGCCAAAGAATAGTGAATGGCCAGACTTATTCTTTTTAAATTTATTTTATTTTTAAACACTTACTTATTTTTGAATTTTAATTGGTTTTGAACAGATACAATATGATTTGTAGGAACATGATATTCTAAGAACATGACATTACTCTCATCCCCTTTCCATTCTCCCACCCTCCTTTCTTCTTCCTTTCTCTCTCTTTTTTTTGTTTTTGAAATAATGTATTTTAAACTTACAGGAAAAAAGTTTAATATTTCATCAGATAAGTTTAAAAGGCAAAAAGTAAAAAGGTGTTAATTTAGTGGGAATTTAGACAATGGCCATAAAAAATTGAGTGAAAAAAAAGATCATTTCACTCATATATGGTGAATTTTAAAGTGATTATAGATCATTAACACTTTAGTAGCATAGCATTTTTAACTGGTATGTCTGTGTTTCCAACCATTGCCCATATGAAATGCTGGCATTGCAGGCTGCGGCTCTACCCACTATACCGTAGCATGACCCCCAGGCTTGTTTTTCTAAACTTTCATCTTGAGAGAGCAACTAACTTCTTAAGAACACTGTTCATCGCTTCCTGGGGCAACATTCACATAACTCAATCACCTTACTCTCGACCTCCCCTCTTAGAGGTGCCATCACTTACTAACAAGGCCATGCTGAGACCAAGCTTCTAAAAAACGAACCTGTGGGGAAACACTCAAACCCCACCAAACCATATTGCCTGCTCTTGTAACCACGTGCAGTTATTCCTAACACAACACCTGTGACACTGGTGTTTACTTCCCTAATTGCTAGGTTGTTTCTCCCCAAAACACTGAGGGTGCTAAGGTGGGGAATCACATCCCATTGAGCCTTTACTGCCTTGAGCAAGGTGTGAGAGTAAGCATGCGGGAAGTGTTTATCGAGAAATCCTTTAGTTTTGGTTGTACATCAGTGGTTCCGAGAAGAAGCTTATCTCCATCGCCACCTCATTGCCACCAAAGGACACTTAGCCTTGTCTGAGCTGTTTTTGATTTCATAACTATGAGATAGTACTTAGTTACCTAATAGAGAATGGCCAGAATGTCTCTAAACATCCTAAAATGTACAAGCTGGCCCCACACAAGTTACTCTGTGCCAAATCTAATCTGTGCTGAAGTTTAAAAAACTGCCTTTTCCCGTGATGAATCGGATATCTTGTTGAACACTTTGAGTGTCATCTCATTTGTTACACACCAGAATATTACGAGGTCTGCATGATCATACACCTGATGTGACAAAATGTAAGATACAAAGCATCACCTGCTAAGTGTTGTTGCTGGGTGTTCATTCTAAATCTAATTGAGATCTCACTTCTGGTTTCCATAAAGTAGATGAGATAGAAGAGGTCAAAGGAAACCAAGAGAAAAAGCCTCGTGCAGTAGTCTAGAAACTAAACCCTGCCTTCAAATCCACTGGAATCACTTTGGGCACTGGTTCGTGTCCTGGCTGTTCCACTTGCCACCCAGCTCGCTGCTTGTGACCTGAGAAGCAGCCAAGGGCAGCCCAAAGCTTTGGGATCCTGCACTCGTGTGGGAGATCCGGAAGAAGCTCCTGGCTCACGGCTTCGGATCCGCTCAGCTTTGGCCATTGCAGCCACTAAGGGAGTGAACCAGTGGATGAAAGGTCTTTTCCACTCTTCCTCTCTGTAAATCTTCCTTTCAATTAAAAAGAAATAAATCTTAAAAAAAGAAAGAAACAAAGAAACCAAGAGAAAAACAAGCAAATTCTATAAGTGTGCTAATCTATGTGATAACCTCTCTGGTGTCTTCTTAAAATCATTGTTATGAAAGGTGAGAAGTTGTCTTAATTTAGATAAATGCAAGCTTAGAAGAGGAGCAGTTGCACAAACATTGGAAGAATCATTGGAATTAAGGTGATCTCTAAGAATTATGTGGAAGTGACAATAGCGCTAACG